CCAATAAAACCAGTCCCCTTTGGCTTTTTAAAAGGCAGCTCTTGTTTGTGTACAGAGAATGCAACCTGGGTCTGGGTTTCTGACTCGTTAAGTCACAATGCCTCGTTTGAGCCTCAGACAATGAAGGTACAAATTCTTACTCAAACTATTCTACTTACAGAATTATGACATTAAAAGAGGAAGGGGGAAAGTTAGGGTGGGGTCAAAAACAGGTCTAACTGATTGCTAAAACAGTGACCATCTTTAGCCAGAGACTATGGTACTGAATGGCATACCTTTGAAATTCTTCAGGAGAAACGGAATACTGTACTCCTGAAGATGAGGCAGGATGACCTCTCTGCCTTCTCTCCTGTCCAAGAAATGAACAGCCACTGTCATTTTCAAAAGGAAAAATGGCCATAATGGAACAGTTTTTTCTGTATGTGCACCTTCTGTGTGATGCGCTTGCTCCAGGAAAAGAAAGATGTTGCAGCTGTCAAAGCAAGATACTTTCTACTAAAGAGATGCTCTGTCTTCTGATTTATGTAAATAAAAGGCTTGAAAAGGAGGATTTATGAATGGCTGTGTGAATGCAATGATTTGCAGGAGCACAGAAAAACTGGACTGGGGGTTAGGATGCAGAATTCTCCTTCCTGACAAGGCCATCTTCAATTTATTTAAAAGAGCCATATTTCTAGCCTTTATGTGCTTGGAAATGTCTGCAACAACTGGTGGTTTCCTTCACATGACTAGCAAAATGCAAAAGAAGAATTATACAATTGTGTTTTGTGCATAACTTGTACAGGTTGCAGAATTCAGCTTGGTGCAGAATTTTGATTGCCTTAGCACAGTATTTTAGAGGTAGAATTCTACCCCCTGAACTAGATGCAAGAAGAACCCTCAGGAACGATCTTTGGCACTTACCGTGAGGGGTCCTTCTACTCTGAGGTAAGGAGGACATCTTGGGTGATTCCCACCATCCTATCAGGGAGAGGCAGGAACAAATTTCTTTCTTCCTCTTCCTGTGTGGATTGGGAACGCCCCCTCTTCAGTTAGGGTGACTCCCAGCAGCAGTACTGGAAAAAACACTCTTTCCTAATACTAAGTAATCTGAAGAACTGTAAACGAGAATAGAGTTGTTAATAGTAACAAACCAGGGAATGAGCGTGAGGATCCCGGATCCCTGAAAGAACTATATACATAAACAGTAAACTCAGAAATATAGAGTAGATAAAGGCCACACTCAGAGAGTTCAGACACAATCATAGAAATAGAGAAAAAACCTACTCGGGTGGGGCAAGATGTTCTCCTTACCTCAGAGTAGAAGGACCCCTCACGGTAAGTGCCAAGGGTCGTTCTCCCTCTGAGGCGGAGGACATCTTGGGTACTTACATAGCAGTACCCTATGCCATGGGTGGGAGATCAGTCTCCTCTCCTATGACATGTTGTAAAACTCTCCTTCCAAATGAAGCATCTGCAGAATTGAAGATATTCAGTTTATAGTGTCTAATGAATGTTTACACAGAGGACCAGGTGGCTGCTCAACAGACCTCTTCAACCGATGCATTTTTGGCTAAGGCTGCATTGGTGGATGCACTCCTGACTGAATGGGCTGTGACCCCTGAGGGCACCGCAAAATG